ATAATAATATTATATAAAAAAGAAACGTGCGTACCGTTGTTGACGTACGTCAGATTATGTTTATTATATACAAAAAAATCGCAAAATCGTTGCTCTTCAGTCGTTGTAATGCCTTTAATCGCATACCTTTGGGGGGGATATCGTGATATGTGTATGTGATGATAAACTCGGTACGTCGTTTAGACGTATACGATTAAATAATGTAGAGGAATACGTCGGAAACACTCTAAATGACGATTAATATGCGATTTACAGTTTCGTGACACGCGAATCGTAAAAATTGTATCGCTTAAATGACGTGTAATATAGTATTCGTCGCATCTCTAAAACGGTTTAAGTGCTCGAAATTCGGTTACGGTTAATAACTCAAACTGTAGTCGATAGGTGTTAGGATAGGTTCCCCGACGTTAGGTAGGCAGGTTTGATTCCCGTTCCGGCGAAATTCGGGCGGCTCCATATGAATCTATGCGTATTGGATTTTTTGCATTTTTTTTCTCATTTAATTTGATCGTTATTAATTGCAGTTTTCGTTTTGATATCCTGTCTTACACTACTACTCATAAAATATTTTTCAAATGTTAAAAATGATTTTTGATCTCACACGTTTAATTTTATATTGCTCGATTGATGATGTCAAAATATATTATATTTATATACTTTACACGGACATTAAATCACAAAATAGTATTCGATTAAACCAATCACAGTTATTGCTAACTGTCTGCATGATTCAAATGTACATATGTGATATGCAGTTTATATTATAGCCTGAGAACGTTCTATTGATGACGATACAGTTGTTTCACTCAGTTTTGACGGTGAATTCACTATTTTATATGTTTAGCCATTCAGTTGCTTACATATGAAAGATACAGGGGAAAAACAGTAGCACATTAAATATTTTGTCATCACGGAAAGTGCATAATATTTGTTTTCGATATCTAACTATCTATAAAATATCAAAATAAATATTGATTATGTATTTTTTTTGATCTTTAACTCACTAACAATTGACATGCATTTTCCATAATATATCTCCTTGGCGCCCACATCGTCCGCGATCCGAAGCAGTCGGATCGCCTACCTGAGAGGTTCAAACGCGTTTAACTGGATTTTCAATGGTGATAACTTGAAAATTTAGCACTCTATTCGACTTGAACTTTTTTGCGTACTAAACAGCACAACGCCTTCGACGTCAGGAGGTATGACAATCCGCCGCAGGCGGATTGCCCTGTCAGGAATCGATATTCACTGGACGATGACTGATAACTAGACACTTGATAACCGTTTTGGAGTGTATTTATTTATTTTCCATACTCAAAAGCATCGGGCGAGCCACGGGAAATTCATCCAATCCGCCGAAATCGGATTGCCCTGTCAGGTATCGACTTTCACCGTACCGGGCGATGACTGATACCTAGACACTCGATTGCCGTTTTCGTAACGAGCTACGGGACGAGGTTCTCCGACGTTAGGTAGGCAGGTTCGAAACACGTTCCGGCGAAATCCGAGCTGTACGATAACTGACTAAGTATTCTGATTTTTTTTTTTTTTTTTAATTTTTAAATTTTGTCCTAAACGAACAATAAATATTTACTTATATAGGATTTTTGTAATGTCAAATGTTAAGTTGTAAACTGCCGTTATGAATCAATTATTTTCAAGTTTGTTAGTCTACAAGTATAATATATTTTATTTATTGTATGATATATTTGTTACATTGGAGACTATATGGTATTGTCATTATCATTATAAGAATTTGTGTCTTTTTTTTTTTACTTTATAGCAACAATGATTTTTATAACCTTAACTTAATCTTATCTTAATCGACTCTCGCTGAACATTATTATTTCGATTACATATTCGTAATCGTTTTACTCCATCAACACTGTTTAGTATACAGATAATAAAAATAAAATTAACGTACCTCTTTTTTTGCAATCAAATGTATTGCCGTATATTTAAAACCGGTTTTAAATTGATGGTAAATAATAAATAGTATAATATTACAGGAGGTTCAAAATACATAATATATACTTTAGTTTCAAGTGAAGTTTTTAAATTATTTTCATCGTCTTGATCTTTTACACAATTTAAACTTTGAACATTTTATAAAATTTAAGATGATGACATTTTTTAACGTTTTAACGAATATATTTTGTAACGAAATAACTCATTGTTATCAGCTATATTTATGCACAAATAAACAATAAAAAATTTTAATATGTTAATGACTAATAAAGTATCGATAAAAAAATAAAGAACATTTTATATTTATTACTTTAAATCATGAAATATCTTAGTAGTTAACCTCTTCATGCACGTAGGTATCATATGATACCATAACATATTATGGCGGTAAAATAATTTAGATTGCATAATTATTTACAACTAATAGTATCATCTGATAATCATGTTGATTTTTTTTTTATACTAGCAAGGTGAAACTCGCTTTAAGTGAATACCCTAGGTCGGTGATACTCGCTGTATGTGAATACCCTAGGTCGGTAAAACTCGCTGTAAGTGAATACCCTAGGTCGGTGAAACTCGCTATAAGTGAATACCCTAGGTCGGTTAAACTCGCTGTATGTGAATACCCTAGGTAGCTGAAAATCGTTTGAAGTGAATTTCCTAGGTCGGAGACAGGACTTTAGAATACCGCAGTTAGAAAAGTATATTAGGCGAAACCAGTGATAACGACGTTTGAGACGTTGGTACCTCTGATTTGGTGGTTTTACACTTTGGCGGTGTCGTTTTAAACGCATAAATAATAATCTTATAATATAATAAAAGTATTTAAAAGTCCAATTCGAGCGTCTTGTGGTCGGTCATTTCATTAAATTCACAGGTGTAATTCACCTTGTCCCGTAGCCTGCCCTGTGCTTTTGTGCATGGAAAATAAATAAATACATTCCGAAATAATAATTAAATGTCTAGCTATCAGTCATTAGTCATTTATTATCCGGTGCTTGTCGTTACTCGACTGGGCAATCCGCGTAGCTTGCCCGGTGTTTTTGAATATGGAAAATAAATAAATATACACTCCGAAAGATTGATCAATTGTTTAGTTATCAGTCATCGCCCAGTGAATATCGATTCCTGGCCGGGCAATCCGCCTTCGGCGGATTGTTATACCTCCTGACGTCGAAGGCGTTGTGCTGTTTAGTACGTAAAAAGTATAAGTCGAATCACCGTTGAAAATCCAGTTGAAAGCGTTTAAACCTCCTAGGTAGGCAATCCGACTGCGACGGATCGCGGACGATTTGGGCGTAAAGGGGAGATTTTTAAATATTATGGAAAGTACACGTCAAACGTTAGCTATTCGAAGATCAAAAAACTACACATATTTAATATTTTTATTGGTATTTTATAGATAGTGTAAGATAAGATATCGAAAAGAAATATGCACTTTCCGTGATAACAAAAATTACAATTATCACAGTAGCTACATTAATATAGAAGTTCTAAAACAGTAATATTAGATTCCTATCGGTCATAAATATTGTATGCGGCCAATAAAAATTAATATATTTAATTGTTATCTTTTTCTTCTTTCTTTGTAATATATATATACATTTTGAATATTGAATATTACGTGCAGTTCACACAAATATTAAAATTAATTTAAATGTATAGTGTAAAAAATAACTTAGTCAATGAAGAACACCATATACATGCATAATTAATTAAAAGTTATTAAACTATCATATCATTAGTTACTTTTGTAATACAGTGATAAAAAACAAATGGTTATGGATACGATAAATATTTTGTATAAATAAAAAAATAATAATAATAAATAATATTATAATATATAATAAATAATAAGATAATATATAAAATAATATAAGATAATAAATTTAATTTACAAATAAATTAAAAAACACTAATGAAATATTGTAAAATAGCATCAGGTTATCAGGTTAAATATATAAATTAAAAAAAAAAAAAACAAAATCTATTACAGTAATAAGTTAATCTACAATAATGACAATTATATCTATGAAAAACTACAAACAAATAACAAAAAATTAATGTTTATTAAATTGTTGTTTGACATTAGTTACAAATTATCCACGAAAAATAATTTGCATCCAAAGAGAACCACGTGGAGGTTGTCAAACTTTCTTCATTAATTAATATATATAATAAATCTAAACAAATAATCGAAAAGTTAACTGTAACGGATCACGAAGGTCCGTGGGATCACAAAAGTCCGACATGGATGCGTTGTAGCACCATGCGATTGACTTGTCTGCATTCATCGTTCCTAGGACATAAAATTATTTTCCGAGCAAACTCATCGACATTAGCCAACGACATTTTCTGCGGAAAAACAAAATCAATCAAATCAGCAACATCACATACCATATCTCGCGGTATTTCGACGGTGTCCGGAACACAGTCAACCGTTGGCAACTGACCGCTCCCTAGCTGAAGTAACCAATTCGCGAAATTCACGTCGTTTTCGGCTCGCATGTTTCGCGTCAGATTGAACTGTTCCAATTCGTTCCACAGAGAGTTATACTTGATCGATGACCTGACAATGTCGCTCCTCGTTCCTCTACGTACAACCGGTAATATCTATCTGAAGTCGCCAGCGAACAGGACAGGTTTATCGCCAAACGGTAACTCCGATCCCATGACGTCCTTGAGCAACCGATTGACCACCGTGAGTTGTAGTCCCGGAGACATAGGCGCTTCGTCCCAGACGATGACTGCTGCGTCGCGTATCCTCTGAGAGCGTGACGACTGCACGGCGATAGACGACGTCGAATCGTCCGTGAGCGTACCGAACGGCAATCCGAACGTCGAATGCACAGTCATGTCGCCGTCAATGAGCGACGCTGCAATTCCTGTGAATGCCACGGACAACACGGAACGCCCTTGGCTGCGAAGCGACCATATCAGTCATCCGTACAGCGTCGTTTTCCCAGTTCCTCCAGGTCCGTCGACGTAGAAAAGTTTTGAGACGTTTCTGTTGTTGTCTACGGCCGCCATCACACGTTCAAACACTGTCCGTTGTCGTCGTTTAAGTTGTCTAATTGTTGAGCCCAGCGTACAGCCGCGTCTATTTGACCGAACATGCCATCATACGGATCCTCTTCCAGCAGTGCGACGTCCGGCATAGGTAAACCGTAGTCCGTGAGTGACTTCCCGTGACCACGAAGTAATCGATCGATAGCGTCTAGACATGCCGCCCTCGCGCGGTCTACTTCACGCACCCGCTGATTGAAGTCCTCCATCATGTGAGCTTCGTTAGTTTGGTACAACGCCAACGGATTTGCGGTTTCGCAAAACAATAGCATCGTCACGAACAGGTAACGAAGCTGTGATGGAGGGTCCAACGTTGCCGATTCAGCCATGCATGCCAGCAAAGCTCTGTCGTCTTCCAACAGTCCCATCGCGACTGCTGCAGCCGCGTAGGTTGGATGCTGCACTCCGTCTACTGTCCTCACGTCACGGTATGACTGCGGGCCTCTCTTGTGTAGAAGTAGTAGTCGCAAGTGAAAACGTTCTCGATCAAGTGGGTTGACGACGTACATTCGAGCCAGCGTCTCGTACGTCATCTGTATTCGCCGTCGTAACCATGTTCTTCGCGTTGCGTTCCAAATGTAATGTATCGGTATCTCTTGGTACAGGTACTGTCTGGCCTCGACGTCTGTCGCGTTAAGCGCAAAGAAGGCCGTGAGTTTTGTTCGAGCTAGAGCAGCATTTTGTGCCCTTTCCAGTGCCTGATTTGGGGCAAAGTACACGTTGTGATAATCTTCTAAGTGTACTGGAAGTCTGACGATCGTATGACTCTTTTTATACATTTCATACGAAAACAACCTCCAAACTGCTTCTGGTAGACTGACGTACCGTGAATTTATGTAACTGAAATCAACATGTATTCACAATATAATATATGATTGAAAATTATAATAAAAAAAGGTTATTTGTTAAATTTAAGTCAAAATAAATCGAACATAATGTGTTGTTTATAAATCTAAAATAAAATAACTATACAGTATATATATATATGACATGGTATGCAATGTTATTAATTTAGCAATAAATAATGTATATAGTGGTGTATTTTATTAAGATTATATTATTTCAAAGTGATGTATAATGTTAATGTCTTATAATATCTCCTTATACATTTTGTAAAAGAAAAAAAGAGATTAATACATAATAAAATATGACTTAAGAAATTGAATTAGATTTGTTTTAAACACATGTGAAAATTTAATAATAGAAAAAAAGAAATGTGTATTGTTGTGCATTCTTATTATTATTAATTAACTTATAATAAATTTTACAATATAATTCACATATAAGCTGTAATGTACAGTATGAAACGTTAGGTGTTTGTGCTCGATAATCTCAAGTTATCAAATAACAATATATGTTTAATGAATTGCATTTGTACTATATTTTTGTGAATCTATATATCAATCGATTAAATGAAGTATAATCATTATGAACGAAGTTGTAGCAGTTTATGATAAGTTTAAATGTCAGTGTTGATACAATTGTAATTAAATATATTGGCATAGTCTTAAAAGTAAAAATATTGTATAAGTGAATAAAAAAAAAAAAAATTAACTGAACAACTCACTTTTCTATTTTATTTCCATTCCTAACTTCCACGGTAGCCGCGTCATGTCCCTTGTACACATATTTGTACAGATACATTACGCTCTTCACTGTAGAGTATACCTCAACGTTGATGTGCCCATCATACTTGCTGATCAAGTAAGGGTTGTATGGCACAACAAACTCATTTCCTACTTGGTGACCTCTGACGTTAGCCTCGAGACCGTTATTTGGTCTGCGGTACGTCGGGTTACCGCTGTCGGAAATTTACAAAGTCTCTTCGCTGTATACTCTTTTGGGTAGTTTTTTGAGCAACTGTTGTCCACCATACACGGACTATTATGGTAAAGCTGTCCACATGGTCCATGAATCATGTGTGATGTCACACTGTTAAATAGGTGTCTGTCAATTGCCGGGTCTGACAAACAGGCACATACCACATCGTCAACGTCGTTGGCAGTATGGAACTTACTGTCTTCTTGCAAGATAATGAGTATGTGGGCGTGCGGAAGACCTCGTTTCTGAAACTCAATAGTATAAACGTAAGCATCAACATTACTAAACACCTTAGTAACTGTTATATCACGCATTAGCTTCTTAAGTTTTGCATAGAACACCCTTGACACCAAATCTGGCCTGTCGTTAGCTTTCAACCAATTTGGAATGTTGTCAACAATCTCTGGCCACTTACGGTTACATGTAAATGTTATGAACAGATCAGGTTTACCGTACTTACGCACAATGGCCATCGCGTCATGGTAACATTGTTTCATGTGACGGGGGCCACCTACAAACGTCGATGGCAAAATCATCCTACGACCGACAGGATCGATTTCATCTACATGAAGTTGTTGGTTTATGTGGTCCACAAGCCCCTGATACGCTTCGGCAAACAGCATCCTATGATTGTCTCTAGTGTAGCGTAAATTATTCGCTTCCATCCGAACGTACTGATCACACACATACTGCTGTAACAAAAAACCACCGGCATACAATAAACTTAATGTTTGGCCGTCATTTCTATTTCCATTGTTTCCTGTATATCGAATGGCCAGGCAGGAAGGAACACACAAACTCCCTGATGGTGTTCCGAACGCGAACAGCATTGCGACAGTTGCCTCTTGTAGCAGGTTGTAGTGCCAACCGGTTTCTCCATACGGGAAGAACAGTGGATACAGCATAGGATCCGCATGAGGTGAGCCTACTGATATGCTTTGCACCCGATGTTGTGGGTTGACTGGGTTCATGTCATAGATGACCAGATCAAGGTTCTTTGATGGTAGACCGTCGTCACCAACGAATATGACTGCTACTTCATTTGCATTACCAGCTGGTTGATTGTATCGCCGAGGGTCATTATTTGGGTCGGCGATGATGTGCATTGTCACCCTTCTTTGGTTGCTCCGTGTGATCGGCAGCAGCAGCGTCTTGTTCCCTCTGCCATACCTTTTGCATAGTTACAGTTATCTGCATGTAAATAAAATTGAACCTTAAGTGTAGCAGTTTAGTCTTATTCGGAAGTCTACTATTATTGTTAGCAATACGCATAAGATATGTGATGCTCAGTGTAATAAAAAAATATAATATAATACTATAATAAAATAAATAAAAAATGTCATAGAGGTAATTAGGTTTAAGTCTCGTTTGAAACAATGCACACAGTTTAGTGTTGATGTCCATAATGTAGGTGTATATGTTACCGTCATTGTCGGTAATTCCGGCAATAACGGTAATGCCTAGACAATGTCAGTAATGCCGGTGCATACCAGCCATTGTAGGCAATCGGTGTATATTTCCGTAATTGACTGGTAAGTTTAGTCAATGTTATATTATTGTCATTTATCGTTATTTTCCAAGGTGGTTATCGATTAGTTATCTTGATTTATCGCATTACCTGTTCCTTCTGACAAAATAATCGTACATAATTTTAGTCGTTTAATAGTATCGTACATACTTTCAGTCGTGTTACAGTATCGTTGTGAAGTGTGTGACCTTATAATTTTTGATAATGGAGTTAGCCAATATGCGTGAAAAATTTAATAAATCAATTGACTTATTATTGCTTAAAAAGCATGACAATAAATCATTTTTAAGTGTCGA